ATGGATTTCACTCAAACTTGGTACATACATTAGACATTACAGGTTTCTGAGCATGTTATTAGTCCCCGTTCGGCCACAGTCTGAAAACGAGGACTTATATTTTGACCCTTGTGCGTGCGTTAGTGCGTGCGTGGATGGATGGATTTTGTTCAAACTTGGTATATACATTAAACATTATGGACCTTGATGCAAATAATTTTGTTTTTCAGATAAGATTTAAAATGTCCGACTGGCGGCCATTTTGTTTTAATGAATGAGTTTCTCGTGCCATATCTCTGACTTGCTTTGACTGATTATGTTCAAATTTAAAATATTCATTATACATCATGTCATAGATATACAGATATATTGGTTTGGCGATCCTATTGAAAATGGCCGAATGGTTGCCATTTTTGTGCTAAAAAATCATCAAATATCAAGCATTTCTGGCATTTATGGATGTATTTTGTTCAAACTTGGTACATACATTAGACATTACGGGTTCCTGATGCACGTCATTTTATTTTTCAGATCGGATTCAAAATGGCTGACTGGTGGCCATTTTGTTTTAATGATTGGGCTTCTCGAGCCATATCTCTGACATGCTTTGGGTGATTAGATACAGCACTAAGTGCTTTCTTTTGATGGGCAGTAAACTCGTTCACAAAATATTAAGCTAGCAACACGTTTATTTCTATATTTCAAAATTGTAATATTACCAAGTAATGTGTTGTTTCTATCATGAGTTTTGATTGGTTTATTCAATGAGCCTAAGTGAATCTTAAAATCGTTTGAGGGCGTGCGACATACAGTAAATCGTGGTGAAATCTGCCAAGGGTTAATGTTGAGGCTTCAGCCAAATAAATGGTCCTTGGCTGCCGAAAATGCTGGACAACATTCGAATAGATAAAGAAGTAACATTCAATTGGACAAAGAGACTACAACGGACTACAAGGACTACAACGGGGTTGGTCTGGACTGCACAATTACTTATATGGTAGTCAGTCGAAGTGTTGACTTCTATTTCCATGGAACTCTACGTCTATGTCGATCATAACGGAGTTTGTCAAAATTGAATTTCACACATGAATTGTCTCGTTATTTAGCAAGTTACTAGGCATGTTACTACACTATTTTATTTTATCGACCGTCTGAGTAAAAAAAAACATTTCAAAATTAAAATAAAAAGAAAACGTATTTTGACATTCTAAACATTTAACTATAGTGATCAATAAAATAGAGAAATAATTTTTAAAAAAACGACAGCCACATGGAAATGAATTGACATTTTGTAGAAATGGGTGAACGTCAGGTTGGGTTGGGTTGCGACGTCTATTTCTAGTAGACAAGTGCTTGAAAGGTGGCGTTTGATTGAATAACCAACATAATTGAAAGCGACACATATACAGACAAATTCAGAGTGGATTGATTGTCATAATTATAACATCATATAAAAATTTACAATTAGCAGTGTGTAAGGGCTGCGTAATTTCCTGTTTGTTCGACGCTTCGTTTTCATGTCACTATCAAAATTATTGCTAGCTCTTACATAATATGAACTAAATGGTCTCTATGAAGCGATATTCGGGATCACATAAAAAGTCAAATTATTTGAAACACTTACTCGACTTCTCTCTCTTCTGATATCCACCTTGGTGAACATGGGCTGGTCCGGAATCTATTTCTTTAAAAAGTGTTGGTATTGCGCCAGGTTTAAGTTGCCGAGCTTCTCTTTAAACCCTAGTTGTTTTTTCATGAACGAGGACAGTTTTTCGAAAAAAAGTGGTAAAGTGGATACTATATATGACAGTGTAGGGAGAAGGTCCATCCCAACCTTTTCTTGTTGCTTTCACAGCTTTCGTCCACTGATGTCACACCTTCGGACCGATTGGATTGCTATACATATTACTGCACCCACCCACAACACAACATTTAACCATCATAAATGTTTGTTGTGAAAACAACTTCAAAAACTCACTCTCTCACGAAACAGTCAACCATTTTAGGATAGATGGGCATGGCTACAGCACGAAAAATATCTCAAATTTACTTGGATACTTGGAGTAATCATTTTCAACAACAAAAATCAATAACTGTCCATTTCAGTGGGACACAGTTCAAAAATGGAAAACGTGTAGATCGGCATTTTGAATATTGCTTAACTGGTAGATTCTTCACTGACTTTATGAGAACTCCTGCTGGGAAAATATCATGAACCAACCCCTGCATAAGGGAACACCACCCCTGTGTGTAGGTGTTGATTGACATCTCTTGTGCCAATAATACCAACAGTTATAAATAATGTTGTTCTTTTCCAGATTATACTTTACAAAAATGGTGTTTGTTATAATGTCGCATGGCAAGATATATACGAAGGCGTCTACTATCCAGCCGTGTCAATATATAAAAATGCAACAGTAAGTAACTCTGAAAATCTGTATTCAGCGTTGAGCTATGTTTATGAGTTGCCAATAGCTCTTTAAACCAATATACAGTAGAAGTTAATGTGGGAAAAATGATGAGTTATATGGACAAGATGTGAACCAAATACTCCTCTATGCATTGATATTCAAAACGAAAACACTAATAGTAGAGATGCAGGTTCGTGGGCACTTGGGAGTGAAATTTTTTTTTTTTGCTTTTTATTATCCAAAAAGTCTTGGCTATAGACTGTTGAAATGTGAATAGTGGAACATACTCAAAAAACGATTTTAAAATATAGATAATAGGTGCAAAATTATCTCTTTTGAATGCTTAGCAAGATTTAGCAAGGCTGTACATAAATAATAAAAAAAAAAACATGGTAAAAAAAAGAAATGACGGGATCTCCATATTATGCACTGTATTTAACTTTTTACAAAACTTTTTCAGCTTCTTTTTAGTGCACATTCCAAAACTTTAAAAAAAAATAGCTCCTAGACGCTTTGACCTTTTGTTTTGAAATTTTCACAAATGATTGACAATGTGTTTATCTTCAAAACGCCGTTGGGGCATTGTTTTTTTAGTTGAATAGTGTTACAGCAATCGTACAGACAACTAGCCAGGGTGTTAATTTATGCATAAACTTGAAGTAGTGAAATTTGAGCTGCTGCCCTACAAAATTGACAACTGGTAGACAGTTTTCAAGACGGCGCTTTCTCCATAGTAAACAGATGTACCCATTTTGACAGGAAACAGAAGCATGGTTTAGAAGCTACCTTAAATGATCATATGCAGCACTATGTGAACACAAATTTGAGACTGATCTTGTTTTTTTCCAGGTGTCTATCAATTTTGGTCCTGACTTTAAGTACCCACCAAAGGACCTGACATATCTTCCTGTACAAGCCATGGCTTCACAGGCTATGGTTGAACACACATTAGCTGATATGATCTATCATATCGAACATGAACAGGAATATATAGATGTGGCAGCAGCTGCCTTTTGTTAAAAGCACACCTAATCATCCTTGGGATAAATGTGAAGGAGACCATCTATGTGCCTTTTGTTAAAAGCACACCTAATCATCCTTGGGATAAATGTGAAGGAGACCATCCATGTGCCTTTTGTTAAAAGCACACCCAATCATCCTTGGGATAAATGTGAAGGAGACCATCTATGTATATCAATGATTTATATAGACAGTCTGTTACATATATCATGCAACTGGTTGAGATGGATTACTTGGCTAATAATGTGAAGATACAGACGCAGTGTGCAGAATTTTTTTGGGTCACTTCCAGAGCTCCATTCTATCTATTTGGGGAAGAGTTAATTCAGAGTTTGTTAGAATGACCCAGGTGACATTGTTTGACAATCCTGATAAACATTTATAATTAATGTCACACTGTAATATGTCAATTTCCACAAACATCTGAGTAGAACAAGCGTTCTCAGGATAATTTGATTTTATGTCATATTTACCAGCAATTCATATCATGTCTTTTGCACTTTTTTTTTCATGTTTGATGTCAGACATACATTGCATCCAAAAATGAATGAAATAGATTGTGATCTTAATCTACTAAGATGCAAAAAAAGTATAGTATATCCCTGTATATAGTCTTATAAAAGATGAAATTTATAAAAAAAAAAAATATTTGTTCATAGCATAATGAAATGAAGGTGATATCTTATATTCATTTTAAGCAGAATAAACTTTTTCAACTTGTCATGCATTAACAATTTTAGAACAATGCCAGTATAGGATTTTTAGGAAATGTTAAATCTGTGGTAAAAACAACTCATCTAAAATGGTGAGATTGTTCCTAATGGTAGGGGAAAGTCATCAAAATGCATTGTGGAATTAAAGACTTTGCTTGATTAAATTTACTTGGTCAAAAAATTGTTGAATATTTTGTTGTGCTGCACCAATAAATGCTCAGATAACACCTTGGTTACTCCCCTCTCCCTAATGTTTTCTGGGAGTGAAAAAAATGGCCAATCTGATGTAGGTAGAACTCTAATGCACTACTGCATGTCGCCAACTAAATGTACATGTTCACGTCAACTCTGCTTCTTTGGGGATGAGTTAAATTTCACAAAACTAGCGACCTTATTGTCAAATCAACTCGGCTTTGGGACTAAAACAACAAGTGACATGAAAATTGAGACAGCTCTGCTCTTTTGAGTGAACAATTCGCCAAACAGGTGATCAAAATAGCTGTGCCTTCTTGGTGACTTGATTAGAAATAGATCTGCTTTTTTAAGCTCAACCTGGTGATAGCAATAGATCTGCCTTCTTAGGAGTGAATGATATGGTTGTCATAACCTTGGTAGTTAATTGTACTTACAAAACAATTGACCAGATAATTGAATCGACTATTTTTTTTTGGGGGGGGGGTCAACTTATAAAACAGGTGACCTTATGGTCTGAACAGCTTGGGCTTTTTAGTGGTCAATTGTATTGTACAAAATATTAGGGTTGTACAAACCCGTTTGTTTACCTAATCATACCTACCAGAAAGTCTGTGGAAATAATAAATTCCATTTATTACTCGTTAAACCACACCAACTTAATTTTATGGATGACATCCGCGCGCGCATTAGTTTTCGCCTGTTCAACAAACCACAAAAAAATCTCCAACGACCAGTCTCCACAGATCGGTTTACTGTCCGGAACTTGCTGATTCATATTGTCACAAAGCACCGACTTGTCGTAAAACTCGTTTTGGACTACCTCAAAACCAAACTCCGCACAGTTAGATGCGTTACGTAAAGCTCAAAGACCTATGGGAAGGAGATTGCCTCAAAACATGCACATGGCGACCACACCACCAAAATACGTGAGCATAAAAGTTCAGAGGTAAAACGGAGGGATCGTTGTAGACTGGTACGCAATTGACGTTGGCCAGGGAAACGTTTACACAGCTATATGAGAGGTCGGTAGTGGCAAGCGAGTTTCGCCCAGACAACTTTAAGAACATATTGTCCAGAGTGGCTGTCCCACGTTTCTTCTGCAACGATGAGAGAAATGGGAGAGGAGTGGAGGTGTATGGTGGCCTAAAAGTCAGTCGGGCAACAAATCAGTTCAGTTGCTTTGTCCGCATTGAAGTCGACAAAACTGCAATGAAAGCAGCAGAAGCTCCTCAGCCGAAGTCCCCATCGGGGTGAAGAAAAGTTTCTTATTTTTTTTTTCATTTTCTGATTCGGATAAATTGCTTGCACACACAGTCAGTAATATTTTGATCATATGACGCATTTTCATCAAGATACATGTACATAATTTTCTGCATCCAAATTTTGTTTGACTCTTATAATTTATTACATAGTTAAAGTAGTTCTAGAGCAATTGTGTCTACACTTAGTCTATCTGAAGTGTCACTTTAAAAGCTGTAGTTTGAATGTCAAAGTAGTTAATTTCCAGGTTGCTGTTGACAAACTTATTGTTCATTTTTAATTAATTTTTTTTTTCAATAAAACACAGTAAGTTTTTCTTTATTATTGAGTTGATGTGTAGGCCTTTGGCAAAGCTAACATCTGCCTTATCCTCTTGCCTTTTCAAAATCAAAGGTGATGATACCTGTGACAGTACGAAATGTGTACATCAACATGTGCCTCCTACAAATAAAGACTTGTTGTTTTGATTCACTGTGGTTCAATTCGTAATAACAGCTCCCTAGTCCT